TTCTCACTCTGCTCCCCCATGGCTTGAATCGCCTCCAGCATCCTTTTCTCCATCGCTTCCATGGCGGCCTGCATCTCTTTCTTGTCCTTTTCCCTCTCTTTTGACATTTTGGGGGTTGACATTGAACCTGTCCTTGATCTCACAACTGGTTTAACTTCAGGGTCTGAATCGGCTCTTTTCGGTCCCCTTCTGGTCTCCGTTTTGGCAATTTCACTGCGGTGCGCAAATTCGCAAACAAACAGTCTCTTCTAGAAGGTAGACTGTAGATCAAACGATTCCTTCTATTTACGTTTTCCCAGACCCTCTAAAAGATGTTTAAAATCAAATTTAAATTAAAGTCCTCCTCAAAATGTCGGGCGCAACTTCTCGATGGTATTTGGGTATAGAGTAGGTCAGTTTGCCATTTTGCAGGTCCCGTCTGTTCGCTTACACTCACATCCGGTCCCGCAGCTTAAGGAATCCACTGGTGGACCTCCTGATGGCACCTGGTATTTCTGGCCACTGTGTGACACAGAGTGTTGGACTGGATGGGCCTTTGGCCTAATCCAACATTGGCGTCTCTTATGTTCTTATGTTCACCACCTCCTGAGGCAGACTGTTCCACTGCTCAACCACTCTTACAGTTAGGAAGTTTCTCCTGATATTTAGCCGGTAACGACTCCCTTGTAATTTCCACCCATTCGATCTAGTCTTGCAATCCGGAGCAAGAGAGAATAGATTCGCTTCATCTTCTATATGACAGCCCTTCAAATACTTGAAGACTGCAATCATGTCCCCTCTAAGCCTTCTCTTTCCCAGGCTAAGCATACCCAACTCTTTCAGCCTTTCCTCATAAGACTTGTATTCCAACCCTCTCACCATCCTGGTTGCCCTCTTCTGGACACGCTCCTCCTAGTCCAGCATCCTGTTTCACACAGTGACCAACCAGGGCATAGAGGCTGAGGCCTTCCCCGGATGTTGCCTCCTGGCTCTGGGATTTGGAGGTTTAGTGCCTCTGAATGTGGAGATTTCCCTCAGTCCCCATGGCAAGTAGTAGTAATGCCAGTCTCCAGGTGGGACCTGGGGATCCCCTGGAATTATAGCTCATCTCCAGACAACAGAGGTCAGTCCCCATGGAGAAAATGGATGCTTTGGAGGTTAGACACTATGGCATCGTACCCAGCTGAGGTCTCTGTCCTTCCCAGGCTCCATCCCCAAACCTCTAGGCATTTCCCAACCTGGATCGGGCAACCCTAACCCCCCATCCCCCTCCGGAGGCGGGGGGGGCTGGCAACCCTAGCTATTAGCCACTGATAATGAACCTGCAGCTCAAATACTTTGGCCACCAAATGAGAAGGAAGCACTCACTGGAGAAGACCCCGATGCTGGGAAAGATTGAAGGTCAAAGAAGACGGGGACGGCAAAGGATGAGATGGTTAGACAGTGTCATAGATGCAACGAACATGAAGTTGAGCAAACTTCAGAGGACTGCGGAAGACCGGAAGGCTTGGCGTGATCTGGTCCATGGGGTCACGAAGAGTCGGACTCGACTGTGCGACTGAACAACAACAAAAAGACCTGTCCTCCGTTATCTAATCCTCTTTTTAAGCTGTTTGTTCCTGTCCTGTGGCCATCACTATATCCTCTGGCAGCGAATTCCACATTTTAATCACTCTCTGTGTAGAAGTATTTCTTTTTCTCCGTCCTGAATCTAGCTTCATTGGATCCCCTCCTGTTCTAGGATTTTGGGAGACAGAAAAAAAATGTCAACTCTCTCCACCCCATGCATAATTTTATAAAGCTCTATGATGTCCCCCTTTATGTCAAGATGGGTAGCTGAGTTAGTCTGTCTGTAGCAGCAAAAAAGAGCAAGAGTCCAGTAGCACCTGAAAGACTAACAAAAGTTGTGGCAGGGTAGGATCTTTCGTGAGTCACTGCTCACTTCTTCAGTTGTCCCAGACTCATCAGCCTTTCCTCATAGGAAAGGTGCTCCAAGCCCCTAATCATCTTGGTTGCCCCTCCTCTGAACTTTTTCCAGTTCTGTTATATTGTTTTTGAGATATGGCGACCAGACTTGTACACAGTATTCCAAATGAGGCACACCATAAATCTGTCCGGGGCAAACAAACTGGCTAAGGCAAAGTATGCTATAAACTATGTAGTAAGTGGCATTACGAAGGTCAATACACTTAAAGCACGATGCTACCTAGAATAGATTACAATCCTATCTCAGTATAAAGGCACCTTCGGACGGCTTTGCACAGATGAGCAAAGCACATGGCACAGGCTCCCTTCGCACCTACTTCCAACAACTCAGTCAAGCCTCCCTCAACTGCATTGTGATGTTGTTTGATAAACAGGTGGATGCTTGACTTTCCTGCTGGCGCATCCTCCTCAGGAAAAGCCTCTTGGGTTTTTCACGTGTTCCAGTAGGGGCTTCTCCATCACCCTGCTCACCTTTTGAATCTGCTTCTTGGTTCTGCAGGGGGCTTGGATTCATATCTGGCAAACTGCTTTTCTCCTAGGGTTAGCCAAAGCTAGAAACTTCCTTAGATTTTCTCCTGTCTGTCCCATGAATGTATCTGGGCCAGTTTCAGTCAGGAGCTCAGCACAGCTCCAGGCAAGTTTGGCCACCTGGTGCAGGAACAGTTTCTGCTCCCCAGGGCCCACCGGAGGCAATGTCTTCAAGCTGAGCAGGACTGACCTTACAGCAGGTAGCGGAGTATGTTTTCAGGATGGCTGAGGGGATTGTTTGTGTGCTTGCCTCATGTCAAACTGTGACGGAGATGAAAAGGCTGCTTCCTGCCCCCTGCCCCCCTGAATTGTCAAGCCTGGCCCACAGCTACTTGCAAAGGTGTTTGAGAGAAGAATGAAGTTTTGGGCAGTTGCCATGGCAGCTCTCTCTTCAAGGGCCTGGTATCACATATAGGTAGCTCTTCCCGGTGGATGCAGATGACACCTCACCCAAAAGAGGGCTCACTACTGCAACAACAACAAAAAATAAACACACCTCCATTTTCTTTACCATATCTGCTAATAAGCAGGAAGGAGAACCATTTAATTTTTATTATTATCAATTTCATTTATACCCCACTTTTCTTCCCAGTGGGGCACCCAAAGTGGCTTACAACATTCTCCCCTTCTCCATTTTATCCCCACAACAACCCTGTGTGGTAGCTTAGGCTGAGAGGGTGTGACTAGGCCAAGGTCACCCAGCAAGCCCCCATGGCAGAGTGGGGATTCGAACCTGGGTCTCCCAGATCTTAGTCTGACACTCTGAGCGACTACATTGGCTCTCAGTTTTGATCACTTGTTCTTTCATTAAAAAGTAATGTATTGATTTACAAAAAACAATCTGAGTACATATGTAGAAAAGGGAAGGTGAAATTCTCAAATCTGCCCTTTCTGTCCAAATCCCTGGTTTTCTCCGTTCAAATCTTCCTCTCAGTGTTTTCTTCAGTCTTCACTTTACCTCAGATTTCTAATTTCCCTGGTAACCACCTTATCTCTGACTCTCAACAGAGCAGAACTCGTATTCGACACTCTAATCAGCCACTTTGAGGCCTCTCACCCCTCACAAGGTTCTGAAGTCTGCCAAGGTCAGAAGTTGCCAGTTCAGCCTGGATCTCTCACATTGGCCACCCTTGACAGGGCTTTGCATTTCCAGGCCATTGTGCCGGTTGGGGAGGTGTCCGGGAGAAGGAACTGGCAAGAAAAGGAAAAAGAAAGAGTTGGTTTCTTATGCCCCACTTTTCTCTGCCCTGAGGAGTCTCAAAATGGCTTACAGTTGCCTTCCCTTCCCCTCCTCACAACGGTCACCTTGTGAGGTAGGTGGGACAGAGAGAGCTCTGAGAGAACTGACTGGCCCAAGGTCACACAGCTGGCTTCGTGTGGAGGAGTGGGGAAGCAAACTTGTTCTCCAGATTAGAGTCCGCGGCTCTTAACCACTACTACACCACGCTGGCTCTGCTCTCTGGGGAAGGCTATACGGGCATTGCTGGACCATTCCCCAAACAGCCACACCAGACTGAAGGTGATTCCAGTGTGATGCCCAAGGAATGCAAAACTGGCGAATGAACCTGTGTTTCACTCCATTTCCAAAATGTGTGTGCACATGCGACGTTCTACCGTAGGCTGCGGGTGCATAGTGGCAGGATGCAAATCTCCACAGCGGGCCCAGCCAGTTTGCTCTGTGCAGACCAGAGGTGCTCCTGTGCTTCTGCAGTGGTAGCTCCTGCAACACAGAGGGCTGTAGCCAGCTCCGTCAGCCTCGCTTCTGTGTGTGTGTGTGTGTGTGTGTGTGTGTGTGCACGCGCGCTCAAGTTCCTCTTGCAGTCTGCATGTTTGTGCACCCAGCTCCGAGCTCGCCAGGAGCCTCCTCTTGCAGAGATGCCGGGCCAAGATTTCCCTCTGTTGCTAAGCGCACGGCTCTCCCTCCCCCCTTGCCTTCTTGGCAAGGCCTGTCCTTCCTCTTTCGACATCTCCTTATTCAGCTTCTTTAGCTGTTGGGTCTCCCTCTGCTGTGGTTACAGATATTTTGAATGACCTGAAGGAAGACAGCGAGGAAGGGGAGGAGGGCCAAGGCAGACAGCTGGGCGGGCCTTCCTCTCTTGAAGTCACTCAGGAAAGCCATAGGGCTTAGTTGCTCCTGTGACTGTATACAAACCAGGCATGCCCCACCTCCCCAATCCTGACTCCTTCAGGCATGGAGGTAAAGTGTCTTTGAAGGTACCGCTGATTTATGAAGCTTCCCTGTGTGTGCACGGGCTTCCAGGCTCTATGCAGAAGGAATCCTGCTCCTACCCAGTGGGTTAGGCTGTTTGCCCAGCAGTTGGATAGAAAGCTCTTAGGGGAGAGAGTCAGCAGAGACATCAAGAAAAACTGGATTCTGCAACCCACATGGCCGAAGCCTGAACATATAGGTGGCCATTCAGGCTGCTGAATTCTGCACTGGGTGGAGGGAGTGTGCCTTGAAATGCTTCCCTCCTGTCTTGTGACTTCTGCCTTGGTTCTTCTTCTAGACCAAGTCCTGGAAGACCTTTTTCACGATGGTGCACTGGTCCCTACGGAGACGCAGCTCCTGGGTACAGTTGGCCGGTCACGAAGGTACACGCGTGGGGCGGCGTGAGGGAGACAGCGGCCGGGGAATGAGCAAGAGGTGGGCAACCTCCTCTCTTGCACAGGATCGCAGCAGCCGGGTGGGCCTTCCCTTCACCACTAGGACTCGGCTCTGGCTCCTGTGATGTAATCACACGTGACCACACGGTGCTGCCCAGTGCTGAGTCAGACCTTGGTCTATCCAGGTCAGCACTGTCTACTCAGCCTGGCTGCGGTTTTCCATGGTCTCTGGTCAAGTATTTTTTACATTGCCTAGTATCTGATCCTTTTAGTAGAAGAAGAAGAGATTGGATTTATACCCCGCCCTTCATTACCCAAAGGTGTCTCAGAGCAGCTTACAAACTCCTTTCCCTTCCCCTCCCCACAACAGACACCCTGTGAGGTGGGTGGGGCTGAGAGAGCTCTGACAGAAACTGCCCTTTTTCAGGAACAGCTGTGCCAGAGCTTGTGACTGACCCAAGGTCACATCAGCAGGTGCAAGTGGAGAAGTGGGGAATCAAACCCGGTTCTCCCAGATTAGAGTCTGTGTACTTAACCACTACACCAAACTGGCTCTCCAAATTTAACCACTACACCAAACTTTTAAATGGAGATTGAGATTGGACTAGATGACCCTGGAGGTCCCTTCTCACTCTATGATTCTGTACCAGAAATCGAACCTGGGACCTTCTGCACGCAAAGCAGAGGCTCTACACCACTGAGCCACAGCCTTTCCCCTAAAGAAGAGCTCGCTTCTGCCCATGTGCAAACCATCTTTCTCTTTCCATAGCCCATCCCTGCTTATCTGAGAGTAACTAGGCAGGGCTACAGCTCCTGTTGGAGTAGGGGCCCATCAATGGATGACTAAAGGAAATCTCTTGAGCCTCAGTGCCTCCCTACTGGCAGTGGGTGGATGTTTCCCTCCCCTGGGGCTGCCGAACTCCACTGTTCCGTTCACCCTTTCCTTTCCTCCCTCCTGCAGGAAACTTCAAGGCCAGTGAAAAGGGACAGATCCTGAAGAAGTTCAGTCCCGTGGAAAATGCCTGTCTGGTGGAGCTGATGGGCGACGTCCTGCATCCCTTCGTGCCCACCTACCATGGAGTGGTGGAGACCAATGGGGAGCGCTACATCCAGATGGACGACCTCTTGTGCGGCCTCGACATGCCCAGCATCATGGACTGCAAAATGGGCACCAGGTGATGGCCGCTGGGGACTGCCTCTCCTGGCTGGGAGAGCTAGGGGGCTCCTGAAGCTTAGGACCGCGAACAAATCTTTTCCCCGCTCCTTAGTCATCTCAGAGCCACTGCTGCTAAGCAGAGTCAAAGCACGCTTATTTAAGATACTTAATACCCTGTTTTTCTCCCCAAAGCACCTTACAGCATCATTATGCCCTCCTCCATTTTATCCTCACCCCAACAACCCTGTAGAATAGGTTCGGCTGAGAGTGCATGACTGGCCCAAGGGCACCCAGCAAGCTTCCGTGGCAGAGTGGGGGTTCGAACCCGGATCTCTCATATCTTAGTCCAGCACTCTAACCACCACACCTCATTGGATCTACCAAGTCTTCATAAATGGTTCTGGGTCCGGACACAGTGGCAGGGGGCTGGGCTGCTTCCTGCCTCATCCTCTCTAGCCTTCCCAAGAACGGAAATTGGAAACTTTGGTTATGGCAGCCCAGGATTGGTGAAGGAAGGGCCTATTGAATCACACTGATGAAAGGGAACCTCCACAGCCAGAGGCAGCAAACCTCTGAATACCAGTGCTAACAGGCAACATCTGAGGAAGGCCTTGGCTTCTATGCTGGACAGACCAAAAAAAAAATCACAGTGGTAGGAACCAACAACTAGAGAGATACTGTGAGTAAGAGACATCCAGTATCTAATTAACAACAATCTTTCAAAAATCTTATTACAAATTATTTTATTTATTCAATTCAATTTCTATCCCGCCCTTCCTGTGAGCAGGCTCAGGGCGGGTTACAACATTAGTATAAAACAATAAAATCAAGATTAAAATTGTAAACTTAACCCTTAAACAGTGGTGATCAAACTACATCAAAACTATTACAATGGTGTCCTGGTGTTAGATAATTAAAGGCAAGAAGGGCTAGATTCCATAAGGAATTCCAGATGATAAGTACCCTACCTTGGGTAAACCAAGGCAGTTGTCATTCTGTGTCCTCAAAAATTGAAGACCATGGTACAGATGGTAACAGAAAGGTATTCAAATATTTTATGAAAAATAGAAGTATAATTTTATATTATAAATTCATGAAGTAACACAACACCTATACAATAGAATATCTCATTCATAACACTTATAACATAGGGAAAAATTCCAAACAAACAATACTCTAAGCAGTCCGTTTCAATCACAAAAATTGTCAACGGGGTCCAAAGTCCATAATACATCAAAGAAGTTCTCCAAACTATGGCCCCTGCCACACGACAGGAAAAAAGCCTCTTGAGGCGCGGCTTTTAAAAGCCGCGCCAACGTTGAGGCGCTGCGGCGGGATCCCACGGATCCCCTGGCCGCGGCGCCGTTTCTCCCCGGCGCGATCAAACGCCAGGGAGAAGACATGGCTCAGACCGGGTGCCGGCCGAACTGCGCATGTCGGAGCATGCGCAGTTCGGCTCCGGGCCGGGATTGTGCCGGCGCAAGGGAGCGCCGGCGATCAGACGCCCGGATTGCAGCGCGTCTACTCGTTGAACCACCGAGGTAGGTGGTGTCAACTTGAGGCGCTTTTTCCCGGGAAAGTCCAGTTCGGGGGCGGAAGCACGATGCTTCCCAGATGTTGTGGTGTGATCGCGCTGGTTTGATCCGCCCCCGAACTGTCCTGCTCCCGGGCCAAATTGCCTCGTGTGAACAGGACCTATGTCAAACAAATCCTCCAAGCTATGTCAAAGAAGTCCAACGTGATTTCTGTATATAATCAGTACACATGTTTCAAGGTTCCTTTTTACAAGAAGATATATAGTCATATCCTCTGGTTAGTTTCATAACACTTTATCTTTAGGCATGTTCAAAAGCCCTTCTGTTACATTCACAAAAAGTGCACTTTTCAAGCCAGATTAATGTTGGAGATGCATTCTGTTAAAAAATTGTAAACTCGGTGCCCGTTTACTCCCACAGGTCTTTGCTTTTTGTGAATGTAACAGAAGGGCTTTTGAATAACCATGCCCAAAGATAAAGTGTTATGTAACTAACCAGTGGATATAACTATATTATCTCCTTGAAAAAAGGAACCTGTTTATTGGACACGCAGGGCAACTGGTTGGCCATTGCGTGAGACAGGAT